GTGATGCTGCAGTTCCTGCTGTTTTTGTAAGCCAGCAAGAATGATTTTTGGACAAAACGGTAAGCATTAAAAAGAACCAAAAAAAAAAAAAAATCAGCAGAAGTGAGGAATGGCTTCTAATCTAACAACACACACCAACGAACATCCTAGTGACCAAAAACAAGACACAATGCAACCCACCGTCATTGGGATGTATTACATACTACCATGCTCAGGAGCAAGTCAATGAAAAGAATGCAGTTTTTTCACCTAGCCTCGATTATTTTGTAGGAGAGAGATGTACATTTCTTTACCTGAATTTTAAACAATGCTCAGAACCCTTTACCTCTGAAAAGGATAAGACATGTGGCCTAAGGGTGAACAGAATCTACATGATAGTCTTGTACTCATTGAGGTCAATGCAAAACTTTCATTTGTTTTCAGTGAGACTGGATCTAGCCCAGATGTCCCCAAACTGTGCCCCACAGTTTGGGGACATCTGGGCTAGATCCAGTCTCACTGAAAACAAATGAAAGTTTTGCATTGACCTCAATGAGTACAAGACTATCATGTGGCTCACCAGTGAAACTTTCACTCCAGTAAGTGAGGTAGTTTCTTGACTCTAAGCTAGGTTTGGCTAAAAGTGTTGTTAACCAACATTAACAGAGCTCTACAGTACAGTTCCCTTGCTCAGCTGTGGGCCACATTTCCCTGTTCAACATATGCCAGATCCCAGCATTTAGCGTAACAGCTTGATCCAAGCTAACACTGGAAGAGCACTGAGTCTCCAATTTACATCTCTAGATCACACAATGAGTCACAAGAGTTAACACACAAATTAATTCTGCCCATGAAGAAATTAGCATAGATGTTGCCTTTCTCCTAACAGCCAGAGACCGTCTTTCTTTGTTACGGTTGAAGTCTCTGGCAGGACATGTTGAGAAAGACCATACATTTTATTACTAGAGTTGCCTCTTCAAAACTCTCTGCCTATGCACAGAAGTCCTCAGTCTACTGCTAATGTAAAGCCATACTTTTAGCATGTCATAGTTTCCCCATTGTCTCCCTTCTTCCTGGGCGTCCTTTAGCACAGTTCTCCCACTCATGGGTAACTGAGTAGACTGCCACAAGGGCTGCCTGCCTGATACAGAACCCTGCCTTGCAGTTGTTGGATCTTTTGGATCTCATGGAGGAGACGTGATTTCTGGGCTTTGGAATGAGTGACAGTTCTCTCCAAGTATGTTGAATGAAAGGAAAGGCTATCACAAAACACGTTAGATTAAGTACTGCTGAAGGGGTTAAACTCCCTTTGACAAATAGATCTCCAGGTCTACATTAATCCATCTTAAAATTACATGTTTCTCACACGTTCCAGGAGCAATTTTCAAGGGTCTATTTAATTGTATAATGGGGGATTATGAAAAGTCCTACCAATTTTACCTGGCTCTCTCTACTCTGTCTTTTTAAGAAACATTTTCAATGGACAACTTGACCAATCCCAGGCTTCCTGCCCAGCCAAGGTCCCTATCCCTCCTGCCTAGGATCTGCTATTCCCCAGGGAGAAGGTACCCTTTTGGGGTCACAAAGGTGTGGGGAGTGAAGCTTTAATCACACGCCACAGGAAGGACCACAACACCCCAGCAGCCCAAAATGTTCCTGACTAGATTCCTCCATGTCCCTTCTGCAGGAATATCTTCAGACCATGTCCCATGCCAGTTAAGTGGAACCCCTGCCTATACTCTGCTTGCTGGGATCGTAGGCAAAGCCAATCATTTTCAAAGCTCATCCTCCATCTCAACATCACCAGTAAGGACTGAAGGTCAGTGGTGAAAACTATGGGCGAGATCACTGGTCCTCAAACTTTTCAGGGTTGCGCCCCCCTCATCCTGTCCGCACGGAGCCATGGCTTGGAAGTGAGGATGCAGACAAGGGTAAAGAGGCCTAGGATGGGGCTGCAACTGGTGGTGGGGCTGGTGCTGGGAGTAGGAATGGAGCTGCAGACAGGGGCTGAGGCTGGGGGCAGAGCGGGGCTGGGTGGCACTCCCTCCCTGTCCCCCATGGGGGCTGGCCCAGGCCCAGCCATGCCTCCCTCGAACAGTCCTCTGTGCCCCTCAAGGGGGGGGGGGGCACACCCCACAGTTTGGGGACATCTGGGCTAGATCCAGTCTCACTGAAAACAAATGAAAGTTTTGCACTGACTTCAATGGGTACAAGACTATCATGTAGGCACAAGGGAGTTAATTTTTGTTTAGGTAATGCCAAGGGTTAACAAGGGGAAGTGACTGGCCTTGACAATATACACCCCCACTCAAAAAGCTCCCAGGAGCATTTTATAATTCCACAAACAGATGGGGAAGGGTAAGGAGGTTGAGAGAACTCTTACAAGCATAGGAGTCTGGAATTCTTTGGGACACATGGAATTTTTCAATCAATCAATCTCAATAAGATGCAGAATGCCTTATCCAACATTAAACACAAACACTACACACACTAAATCTGTCCAAAACAGAATAACTCTAGGTAGAAACCACTGCAAACTAGATCAGAATGACTTGTTTGTTTTTTACTGAATATACTCCACTAAACATTAATTCCTAAATAGCTGGAGAGTGGGGGATGAGACAGTGATGCACTCTCAGGAGGTTGTGGCAAAAGGAAATAGTTTAAAAATAATTTGCTTCAGGCTTGAAAAAATCCTAAAACAAGCTTCTACAAATGCAACTACCATTACAATTATTAAGCTGAACCTTTCATCTTCTGACCTGGGCAATTTTCCCCTCCAGAATTAATCTTAATAAAAATGATTAGGTAGGGTGTTATTTTGTTGTGAGTAAAGAGGATTCAGATAGGATGTGACTGAAGTATTTAAACTAGGTAAGACTTTTTAGAAAATGAAGCCAGGTGATCTATTTGATGTCAGCAGACAGACTGGAACTAGGGGACAGATATAAGTGAAGGGGGAATGTATGGAAAATGACTTTAAGGAACTATTATCTTACTGAGTGCAACAAGTAAGTGGAGTTAAGCTGTAAGTATATGGCCTCTAGTATGTGAAAGGGGTATTAATTACATTTGAACCCTTTGCTCTTTCTGAGGGATCAGGAGGGAGTGTCTCACTGATCATACTTCCCCACTACAACTGGCAATGGGTTTTCTTCCAACTTCTGGCACCAAAAAAATAAATAAAGAGAAAACATGAAAATTTTTATTTAAAAATATGTCTGGACTAGAGATGGTAATGAAACAGCCCTTCAGCTCATTTCTTGCTTCTGATCCTACATAATCACACTATATGGAAAAAGCTGCATTTATTTTTTAAAAAGATTGGATGAATCCAGGTCTTACCGTATTTTAAACTTAATTATTCTGTAGGAGTAAAAAGGTATTCTATATAAATAAAATAAACATCTGAACTGGGGCATCTGAAAGAGTCTCTTTTAGACTTGTCCTAAAATATTTTTGATGTTTTATTCCCTGTCTATATTTGTTTGTACCGTGGTACCATGAATTATTAGATTCAAAAACAGTGCAAACAACCAGAACGCCAAAGGCTCCCATGAGAGCAGAGGATATTCAGCACCTTGCAGGGTAGGGCCCTGAGTGAGTTATTTAAAAGGGATATAATGTGAGCCAATGATTACAATGGATAAATCTTCCTTAAGTAAAACAAACTCTTACTATAACAGTCTCTCGGGGAGGGAAATATCAAACATAGTTTAAGTTAAATGAGCACAACAAAGAAGCGATCGCTAAAATAATATTCCTGGAGAGGCTTTGAAAAATCCACTACTGGCAACTCATATTTTTATTAGATGGGTATATTGGTTTAAAAAAAAACTACTTCTACTCAGCAAACCACTCAGCCCCATGTTGTGCTACACTGCAAAGCATATTTATCCCCCAAAGAGCCATTCACAGACTGCATTGTCATTTTCCAAATAAAAGGAAAAGACAAAGGATTTCAGAGATATTTGAGTGGGTTATTTCATTCCATCACTACAGAGCAAGTGTAGCACGTGCTCTCTGTTTTAGAATAGAATAGCACAGAATACAAGATGTAATTAAAACATTTCCTTTATCAAATGAGCGAGATCTTATCAAACAATTAGCAGATAATTCAGGCTTGAGCCTTCTTGTCTTATTCAAGGAAAACTTTCAACTAAAGTCAATGAAGAATTTTGTCTGTGTAAAGCATGCAGGATCAGATCCGTGGATGGAAGTTCTCAGTATTACAAGTACATACAATTGCATCTGCACAGGAAGACCCATTGTGTCCACACAGAAAACCCTCTGAAGTCACAACACACTTTTGCAGATTATAATACTAGCCTCACATAAATCAATCCAAGCAGCCCATCTGATTTTTAGTTGTGTCATGCAAATAAACTAAATCCTGTATAGTAAATAACATGCACTTTTCCCCTTCATATCCAAACAATAGATATGTTAAACAAACAAACACCCTACACAACCTTCACGCAGGGCTTTTGAAAATTAAAATGAAAAGGAAGTGTTTTGGGGCTATTTATGATGATAGTGTCCTTTAAAGACTGGTAGGGAAATGGATAATTACACAAAGCACTTTTTTCCTAATTAGAAAAAAATGAAGACAATCTTGAAAAACTACTCTAGAAATCCCATGAGATGACGACAAAGGCAGGAGCTAAGAATTTTTGCTCCTGTAAGATTTAAAACAAAACCAAACTCAAAGCAAGCAGATTTCGAGCCCAACATAGAGATCTATTAGGAGATGCAGCAATAAACAGAAACTGTTGTTCAGACTTTACAAGGTGGTGTGGATCCAGGCACTGGTTCTCTATTACTAAATCCAAAGTTCAGGATCAAGCCAAGACAAAAAGCTTTTCGGGATACCCAGCCACTTAAAATTGTGTGTGTACAGTTATAGTTAAACAGACAAAACAAAAAAACTAAATGCTACACAGTTTGAACATTTGCACTTGAAGCTTCAACATCAACAACCTTAATTTAGTCACTAACACCTATTTTCTCTCCACCTGCAGGCTAGAGAGCCAATCCCAAACTACCTCCTCTGCAAAACAGATGAGCCAACACCAAAAAAGTTGCCACATAAAAGAAATGTAAGTCTGCTTTGTGTATTGGAATTGCATTGTTATTGGCTGTTGACATACTACGGAAAGCACACATCTAGGGTATACTGACTACAAGGAGAATTTCTATCCTGCATTGTAGAAGGATGCATGAGGTGGAATCTGGAACCAGTACATATGGAGCAGAGGTATATTTCCAGCCTGATCTAGATGGTGTAGTGTCAGACCATAATTTGCAGGGGAAATGAAGTACCCTGGAGCATACAATATAGGGAGAGTGCATGGAGTACAGTGTTCCACATCAGGGTGTTGTACTGGGCATGAAAGATGGAGGAGGTAAAGCCTCCGGCTCATAAATGAATGTAATATGCAAGGTGCTGGCATGTGAACCATGAGAAGCAAGTTAGGTGGAACAGTCAGCCAGAAACACAGCACAGGCAGGGGCAGTGCCACTGACCCATATTGGAAAGCCAGGATAGGGAGCAGGAATTCAAGGGTAGTTTACAATGGAACCTTAATTGCACTTGCAACACAACCTTGTAGTGTTTTATTTTTACCACAACAGTCTGTTAGCTTTCGTTTTTAAAACCCACATACCGTCAAACTTACCACAGAATTCAGAGTTTTTCTTCCTTAATAGTCACATCACATTCCCATGCCCACCGATCTCAAACAACTTCATCTTAATCTTGCTTGTTAAGATTTTTTCAGACCTGTCTTTCATTACGAGAGCGGACGAATGTTACAGACTCCAGTGACACAGCCAACAGAACTTAAATTGGTGTCATTTCAAATGCGATTCTCGTGATTTCACAAAACCTCACGGGCCAATCCTCTGGAGCTTGTACCACTCTTCAGGCCTCTCTGAGTGTGTCTACACGGCAGCTGAGAGTGAGCCTCCCAACCTGGCTAGACAGACTCCTGCTAGCAGGGCTTGAGCTAGTGCACAAAACCCAACAGTGTGGATGCTGTCGCACCAATGGAGGCTCAGTCTAGCCACCCAAGCTCGGCCCCACTGGGTCAGAGCTCGGGTGGCTAGACTGAGACTCTAGCAGCGCAGCAGTGTCCACACTGCTGTTCTGAGTGTACTAGCTCAAGCCACGCTGGTGAAAGTCTTTCTGACCAGGCTGGGACGCTAACTCCCAGCTGCAGTGTAGACATAGCCCACGAAGTCACAAGCTCCACAGGCAGAGACTGTTGGGAGAAGCTCCTCTAACACGGCGTTCACAGGATTTATTTACCAGGTTTCTGATAGAAGTTACAATACATCCCTGTATAAGTGCCTGACAGAATCCCCAACATTAAAGGACTCTGAACATGTGTACCTTTAGTATACTGGTCCAGTGCACAAGTTTTCTTTAAGGACTTATGCGTAAGGCCAATTTCAATTTTACAAAGTAACCAATTTTTTAAAAACTACAAGAAACAATAGTTCACTTTCCCATCAAAAACACACCCCTATTTTTCTGTGTCCCATAATTCAGAAGTGATTGGTCCAATTAACTTCCAACTTAAAAATAAAAAAGGGCTCACACTTTTTTTTTTTTTGGCCAGGCACATAGCAAGAGAAGTTTCATTCTTACAGGTGTCTCAAGACAGCAAAAAGGAGTCAAAAGTATGGCCTAAAATTAAAACTTTCAGTTTTAATTATGGAGTTGCTACTGTGACTAATATTGTAAAGTCATATTTATTCTGTGGTAAATTTTTTAATGAGATCAATTTTAACATCAAGGTTACAGATTCAAGAACACAACAGGCAGTATATGCAAAAGTTAAGCTTCCCATAGTAATCTTAACTTCCCACCCTGCACATGCAGCTCTGTGCAACTCTTCTAAAAGGCAATCCGGTAGTGCATGTTCAGAGTGCAAAACTGAGCCCCAGACACATTAAGGTTACATTGGCTAGTACAGTGGTTCTCAGACTTCTGTACTGGTGACCCCTTTCACACAGGAAGCCTCTGATGGCGACCCCCCCTTATGCATTAAAAACACTTTTTTATATATTTAACACCATTATAAATGCTGGAGGTAAAGCGGGATTTGGGGTGGAGGCTGACAGTTCACGACCCCCTGAGGGGTCCCAACCCCCAGTTTGAGAACCACTGGGCTAGTAATTCAAGAGAGAGTCCATGTGTAATGTGGACAAATTAAAATCCTAGCATACTGAGAAAAGTCTTTATGGGAAATGGCAGGTTTTTACTTGATGCATCTGCAGCTGCTCTACAAACATGATCCCAGGGACCCACGTACCTGCTGCAACACCTATGAGATGATTCATGGCCAATGGATCGACATCATAATGGATCCAGTGGTCATCCTCTTATAACTTTCCCTAGCACCTTCTAAACAACTTTCAGGGATGGTCTTGGTATACATGGTCCTGGCTCAGCGTGGGAGGATGGACTAGATGGCCTCTCGAGGTCCCTTCCAGCCCTACGTTTCTATGTGGGGATCCTAGTTCCAGTGTTTGGGGGCAGGGAGTCCCACAGTACATCCACTCCACAGCCATCTAACTCCCTTCAACAGACCCACTCAGGTCTTGCTGCTTTAGGAACCATCAGCACCCCTTCACTAATGAATGAATATTAACCAAACAGAAACCAAGCTAACAATGCCCATATAAAGAAAAAGGTACCGTCCACTAAAAGCTAAACAAAGGCAAATTAACACTGGTCTGACATTATTGCTGCTGATCCACTGCACTAGTGTACCCTGTGGTCCTGAATGACTGATCATTGCAAAAAATAAGCATTTGAAAGTGTAGGAGGTAAAGGTGGTTTCCATTCCCTTGATTTTAGGGCTGTCTAGACACTGGTCTGTTCTCTAGTGTAAATTACACTCACTACAAATGGCCTCCAGGGGCGATTCTGGTACCTGGGAATCTTGGGGAATGGGGGTGCCAAGGCTATGCCTTCTTTATAATGGCCATAACCCAAACCTTCAGCCAGGAAGGTGGCAGACACAGGACCTGCCATGGAGGTTCTAAATCATCCAATATGGCTAATTAAGCTAATTCAGGACTATTCTGTGATGCTGGAGCTGCACATGCAGCTTAACATACCAATGTATCAGGCCCTATGAATTATTTAGAGCGATACCAGCAGCCACTATAGTCCAGACTGTACTGGAGTTTCCATTTTAAGCCCTGATCCTGCAACAGGATCTGCGCTGGGAAATCTCTGAGCCTGTGCAGAGTCCCATTGACTTCAGTGGAACTCTGTATGGGCACAGGGGTCCAGTCATGTGGATCTTGTTGCAGGACTGTCCCTGATCTGTGCTTTTTAGGATTCTGTATATTTATTGACTAGACCAGTGTTAGGAAGTGCCGTTTCCCTGCCTTCCAAACAAACATACCTGAAAGACAACTATCAAATATTTGAGCATAAACAAAAACCCAGGAAAAAAACAACTACTTTGAGACATCCTTGGTTTCAATCACTTCACCTCAAACTAATTCAATTTTAAAATAAAACTAAGCAAGTTGTTAGTAATAATCACTTTTGATAGTCTGGAAAAAAAAACCTTCAAAATATTTAGCTTTCAAAAGCATTTAACAACACAAACCAAAAGAGCCGCATCTGGCAACCAGCAGGATTTCAAAATATATTAAATGGTATTTACATAAAAGTGAGGCTTTCGATACAGTACGACAATCACAACTTTTACAGCCAGGAGAAACCTTTAACATAAAAGAGAAATGATAAAAATTAAATTAGAACAGTATCAAGGGGCTGGCAAACCACCAAAAAGCCAGGAAATTCTGAGTTAATGCTGACACTCCTTTCTTGACTGTGCCTAAATATAGTACCATGTAGTGTATTGTATGGTAAAAATTATTTACTGCTCAGAGAACTTTGCAATTGTGTGATAGACTACAGCATGTTGTTAATGTGAGTCTGAATCTGTGTCCATACATTTCCGAGTTGGCAATATAAGTCAGAATCTTGATGTTATTTTAACATAGTTTGTGAAAACAACATTATTTTATTAAGAATATCAATGGACATTGACTTCAATGGGCTACGGATCAGGCCCTTAATACCCATAGGAAGCCTTTCAAAAGCATTTATAATTATGCTGATTATTAGGCCAATTTATACAAATTCAAAAAGGTCTTATAGAATAACTCTTTACACAATCTATTTAGAGTCAACAACTTCCTACAAATAAATCATAGAAATTTTGGGGGGGGGGGTGTCCTGATTTCTTAAGGGATCTATAACGGAAGAAAAAGCCGTTCACTTAGTAGTTGGCCAGTTTGATTTTTGTCCAAGAGTGGGAGTTACCCAAAAATATAGATGTTTGGTGGCCTACATAAAATGAATGGATGGTCTCAGTCCAGTTTCCAATAGACAGCTGTCCATGTCACCACTGAGAGTCTTTGCTGGCTTCTCAGCAGTGAGCCAAAGGATTTAACTGAATGGACCGGAGACCAATCTAGGAGGTCTATGGTTTGGTATCACTGTTCTGTGGAAGGGGACTTTTGGCTTCCTAGCCGTAAATCTGGCATTTTTCACAGGCATGAAGATAACATAAAATTTTAAAGAAATCTACGACACAGGCCCTTCTCATACCCTTCCACTTCTAAAGCACTGAGAGCCAAAGGTAGGCTAGCAAAGACTACAATTTCTAACAAATCGTCCTGTCAAGGTAACAGTGTTTGCCACCCTCACAAACTTGTGGATATCCTGAGATCCTGAGGCAAATTCCACAAATGACTCATGGCTACTCTACAGGCCCCTTGTTCCCTATGGCAGCACAGATTCCAACAGCAGCCAGGATGTACCTAATCCAATCCTTCCATACAGAGAGCAATCTGATAGCTTGGAAAGGGCATCCGTATCATTTACTGGATCAGTCCCAGCATTAGCTAGCATAGTGAAATTCCTGGTGGTTTACAAGAGATATTACCCTGGAGCATTTCCTCTTTCTTGGCTCCACCCCCTCTCTAATCAGGCATACCCCCTAACACTACAGAGCTCCAGACACCATGACGGCTCAACCCCTTCTTCTCCATCTGACAGAAGTCT